GATCCGGAGTCGAGGCTGATCCTCCTGCTGTGGTCCTGTGCCCTGGATCCTCTATCCTGAGTTCTGGATTAAGTCGTGGACTTCGGGTCGTGGCTGGGTCTCGTGATGCTGCTTCCCTGATGGCTCCCACAGAATTGTTGACATCCTCGTGGACTCATCTTCTTATTATAGACACATGCATTTCCAAACATTCGGTCTACTTATGCTGTAAATGTATTATCTCTTCGATTTACACACGGCATCTATTGCACGTCTGACCGTCCTGGGAGAGGGATCCCTCCTCTGTTGCTCTCCCTGAGGTTTCTCCCATTTTTTTCACTTTAAACTGTGGGTTTTTTTCTCCGGAAGTTTTTCCTTGTACGATGTGAGGGTCTAAGGACAGAGGGTGTCGTTTTCTCATACTGATATTCTGCACAAACTGTGCTGTTGTATTTACTGTATAGTGTCCTTACTGTAAGGTAATTATTATATGTACAGCACTTTGGCTCGACCAAAAATTGTTTTAAAAATGTGCTATATAAATAAAACTTGATTTGAGACCTGGAAAACAGGCTTGGGGCTTAACAGGTAGGAAACTGAACATCAGTGAGTGTGCTGTACATATTTCCAATAACTCTTTACAGTTCATGTCCACATTAAACTAATTTGTGGATAACTTTGGATCCATTAACAGCCCATTTTGATGTACTGTTTGCCCATCTATTCTGCCATAGCACAGTTATTCAAAGGTTGATCTTCAAACACACAACTGATACACGCAAATGCTTTGCATCAAATCACATAAACAAAACATGTGCACTATAGCCAACGGTCTCTCATCCTCTCTTTGCATTTGAATAAAAATACACATCAACAATGAAAGAGTGAAAAGGAAAAAAAAAGAGCAGCCCTGAAATGTAAGCTCGTCTCTCCTTGATATCTCCGCCAATTTATTCCGCCTGTCTGTCAGCGCTGCCATCCATCTGTAACATGAAGACAATGATGAAGCTGTCTCTCATATGGCAGCTGTGTCCTCTTGTCAGGTGCCAACCAACTCCTTTGCATGCGATGCGGACGTCCCAGCCTACCTTGCAGCAGGCCAGTCTTCATATTAAGCAGGTAGAGCTGGTGTGAGACAATCAGTAATGGAGGAGTGAAGTTAGTTGTAGTCATTAACGCACGAGACTGGATCTGACTAATGCGTAGAAACCAGAGACGGTGCCAAAGAATAGCGACGACAACAACAAAGCCTGACAAAAGGCCAGCAATTCATTACACCTTCTCATGAATATGCCTACAGGAAGAAAAAGTACACACCTACTGCAGCAATGTCTGAAAACAATCCTCATATGATTGCAGTCAATCAGACTGCAATCATAACAAAATAGAAATCAGGTGACATCTAGTAGAAAGGTTAAACTTTGGTTAACCTGTGTAACACTACCCTGCTTCAACATGTAGCTAGTGTTGTTCATTATTATCTTATTTTTTACTGCTTTGTATTCATTCTACCGTGTTGTGTACTGTTTTTATTTTGTTCCATGCTAAATGCCTGTAGCACTTCGGGATCTGAACTCAGATATGAAGTGTGTTATAAATTAAAACCCATAATTATTATTATACCATGTAGATATACTGTAGCCCAATGTGTCCATTATACATAGCTATATTTGATTGTGTAAGTGAAGTTTGTTTTGTGTTTGCAAGTGTTTCCATCTAAATGCCTCATTGTTTTACACTTTATCAGGAACTGGTGGTATCCAGAGACCACCACTCTTCTGCTTTTCAGGGCATTATTGTCCACCTGGAACTATGTTCCCCACCCAGCACAAGTGTCCTGTGGGGACATGGAGCGCTCAGAGTGGACTGGAAGCTGAAAGTGAGTGCCGGCCATGCCCACAGGGCTGGTACTGTTTGGCTGGATCTGCAGCTCCGTCAGGGCGATGCAGCTCTGGACACTACTGTCCTGAAGGTACACCTGGTTGTGGCATAAATGATAGTATAGGTGGTATATACATTCATGAATACATGTGTTTACTGCTGTAGTTCAAAAAGTTATCTAATAAAAGTAAGATTACAGCTTATTATATGAAAATTTGAGCCGTTATGAGTCATTCATGCTGATATAAGTATTTTGATGATGCATCACTAGGGACTGCATATGGCACCCAGTTTCCTTGCCCTGCGGGGACCTACAGCATCCACATTGGAAACAGATACAGAGAAGATTGCCTGATATGTCCTGAAGGCTCATTCTGTCAAAAGGGCACCTCCAAACCTTCACCCTGCCCCATGTAAGCAGTCATTGTGTATTCTATCAGATGTGAGCATGATGATAAAACAAATGAGAATATCAACTCAAGGATAAATCTGATGTAATGAGTGATATTAATTTATATACGTTGTCCTGATGTTTACCAGATCCACATTTCGCCATCTGAAAGGGGGTCGGAGGCAGGACGACTGCTCTGCTTGCCCTGCTGGCTATTTTTGTCCCCACTCTGCCACTGTCAACCCCAGAGTGTGTGGAGCTGGAAGCTACTCTGTAAGGCCCCATGATCCATAATACAGTTCACTTTGACCGGCCAACTGTCAGAACCAGTGGAAACCAGAGCTGCTGTATTAGTCTCGTCCTTCCATCAGCCAGTCTGATTGTCCTATTTTTAGATTAGCATTTTCCGCCCACAGACATCAGCTTACATTACTCACCATGTATGTACATCCGTAAATGTCAGCAAGAGGAGTAGTCAAAGTTACATTTGTTATAGTTAATCTTTTGCTTTCATTTTTGAAAAAGTATAAGTGTGTTATTCCATTGTGTTGCAAGTTCTATCCTCCTTCCCTTGTGTTTTCAGTCTTTATTTTGTGCTGTCCCTCCCCCATACTGGTTGATATCTTTAACTTCAACTCTCTGAATCTTCCTTCACGTTCTTTTGTGTGTAGGATGAGGGCTCTGTGGAGTGTTCTCCGTGCCTGCAGGGCCACTACTGCAGTGATGAGACGACTAGTGAAGAAGCCATGTTAAGCGTCATGGTGTGCCCCCCAGGCTTTCTCTGCTCTCAGGGTTTAGCCCGAGACCCCCAGCGCTCAGCCACACTTTGTCCTCGAGGCTTCTTCTGCCCAGGAGGAGGCGTTGTGAGTCAAAGAATGATGCATACAGAGAAATCACTTTTTTTTTGTAGTAATATGGCCCTCTTTTACAATGTCTTAATCGCTACACCTGCAAATCCCTCACAGGATCCCAACCCCATTCCCTGCACCAATGGTACCTATGGTGAGTCTCCTGGTCTTCGGGATGCTAGTGAATGTGCTCAGTGTCCGGAGGGGGAATACTGTTATTCCCAGGAGCCTCAGGAGCAGCCTATAACCTGGCCTGTAAGATACCTAAAATACAGTACTTAGTGAGAACACATATCCTTTTACATTATTTTTTTTCTGCTTAATTCATTTTGATAGAGATCATACATGACCATATTATATAGTATATAAAGGTTCATTGCATAAAGTCAAATTTTGTTTTAGGTGAAGATTGTACAACAAAGGAAATTAAACAAATAGTTTTTTTGCTGTATTTTTCAGACAGGCATTTGTCCTGATGGGCACTATTGCCCCAGAGGGACTGGTTACCCCCTCACTTACCCCTGTCAGGCTGGACTATATAGGAACAACACTCTTGGTCACAGTGGAGAGGCATGTGTTTTATGTCCATCCAGGCATTATTGCGACAGACCGGGAACTCACATGCCTGCAGTCTGCCCTCAGGTAAATCCAGCATTTTGTAAAACTGCTTTGCAGCATTCAGAAACAGACCTTGTTCTTATAATTCTTGGCACTGTGCATGTGAAACCAACTCTTTCTCTCTTTCTGTCACTCTATAACAGGGCTTTTACTGTCCGGAGGGCACTTCTGCTGCCGAACCTTGTCCTGAAGGAACCTACAGCTCGCGTTCAGCTCTCAGTAATGGGTCTGAGTGCTCCTCTTGTGCTGGAGGACAGTATTGCACCAGTGTGGGACTCTCAGAGCCCTCAGGAAGCTGCAAAGAGCGCTTCTACTGTAGAGAAGGAGCCAAGTCTGCAGTATGAAGAAAATATTTCAAACATTTATTGAATAGAATCTGCTAGTCTTTAATGTTTTATTCTTGTTTTGATAAATTATAGGTCTGTGACTCATGTCACATTAAAACACTTTACACTTAGTTCCCAGTTAGGTGATGAAACTTGGATTAGGAAACATTATGTGTTATATGTATTATTTTGAATGGGCTTTTTAGGAATTACATTAATTATCTACAGTTCATGTTAGCTTTTCTTTACATACCCTATTTCCAGACTCCTGCAGATGGGCCGACAGGAGGTTTGTGTCCAGTAGGAAGTTACTGTCCTTCGGCTTCGTCCTCTCCACTGCCCTGTCCATCTGGCACCTTTAGCAACAGCACTGGCCTCAGCAGACCTGAGGAGTGTGTCAGCTGTCCGCCAGGGTAATGCTACCAACACTTAATTACTGGACCTCCTCAAACTTTAATTGATCAGCTTATTTATTTAAGAGAACCATGTAAAAATGTAATCCTGTGTTGTTTTTGTCAATTATTTTTTCTCCCTGTCAGTTTCTATTGTTTAGGTTCCAACAACACCTCCCCTTCAGGTCCTTGTTTTCCTGGTTTCTACTGTACTGGTGGCTCAGCTTCCCCTGTTCAGAGTGAAGCAGAGGAAGGGTATTATAGCTTGGAGAGGGCAGCGAGGCAACAGCCATGTCCTCTTGGCACATATCAGCCGGTAGGAAATAATCCACACAGAATACCAAGTGCTGTTCTACTGAAAGTGTATAGTCAAATCTAAATAATGAGATAAAGCCATATTCAAGGTGATTCCCTTGTCTATAAATCCTTCACAGCGTCGAGGTGCACACTCATGTATGGAGTGTCAGGGAGGCCGACTGTGTAACCAGACAGCCTTGTCACGCCCACCAATGTGTCCCAAAGGACACTTCTGTCCTCCGGGGTATTCTGCTGCTCGACCCTGTCCTCCAGTCAGTAGTATTAATGAGTGTACTTTTGCACTAAAGCTTCATTCAAATTCAGATGTTGTAAAATGATACTATCTTATATTCAGGGCTCTTACTCTGACCAGCCTGGTGGTGATGCTGTGCACCACTGTCGGCCGTGCGAGGCCGGATGGTTCTGCAGCCGAGCCGGACTCTCTGAGCCTCAGGGTCTCTGTGACCCGGGACACTACTGCACCTCTGGAGCCTCCACTGCCTCTCCTGTAAGATGTTACATAAAATGACTTTGATAGCTTGGCTTCAAGCAGGTTATCCAAAAAAGAACTGATGTTTCAGTAACAAATAAATACATAAAGTGTATGTTCTATTGAGGACTTTATAACACTATATAGATATTCTCATGACACTCTCTTCTAGATATTAGGTGCCTCTTCCCATATACATTGGGGGGATAAAGAATTCATACATTTACTTTCTACAGATAATGAACATAATTTAAATGACTACAATGTCATATTACCAAAATGTTTTTTTTCATAGATATTATTCATATGTAGCAAGAGTCCATGCTCTAAAGCTTTTCATATACTTTACCTTGTTGATCTTTGACAGAGCGAGGGAGCACTCACATGAAAAACATGGGGTAATTAGAGAGGAAAAGATGTCTTTAAGTTTAATTTTTTTTTCTTCCAAGTTAAAACTGTCGCTGGCTTGCTGACAGCTATTTATTTCCCACTCACTTTGAGCGTTCGAGCTTAAGTGTTTTCTGTCATTTTAATATAATTAGGAATTTAGAAGCATGTTGGAATTGGGCAAATAAATAATGTTTTACAGCAGTGTTTTTTGGGTAAGTTGCTAACAGTGTCTGGGAAATGAATGACAGCTTCCAAGACAAACTTCCCACAGGTTTAACTTTTAAGTTCTAACTATTGCTGAGAGCCAAAATGACCAAACTTTGTCATATTCTGATGATTACTCCGTTTTCCAGCAGGTGGCTTTGTTGTCTGGAGGAGTTTGTTCTCCAGGCTACATCTGTCCACGAGGGACCTCTTACTCGCAGCAGCACCCCTGCCCTGCAGGGACCTGGAGCAGCACTGTGGGTGCCCAAAACATGTCCTCCTGCTGGCCCTGCCCTTCAGGACTATACTGCAACAATACAGGACTCAGCAAGCCTTCAGGACTTTGTGATAAAGGCACAGGAATAAATTATCTGATTCAAAACATTGTATTCTGTTTTTAAACGGTTAAACAGTTGTTAAGTCCCGAATTACCCAGTAACTGAAACAGCTCTCTGTTTATAGGGTCAAATCCTTAATCCTAATGCTATTACCAAATTAATATAATCTGATAACTATCTAAACTGCTGGAGAGGAGATATGGCTAGCTTTTAGATTTAAAATGCTTTTTGTGAGTATCTACTGACCACTGTAAACTATAGTATTAATGGGTAGGTGAAGATGTCTGTCCTTTTTTTATTATTACTTGTGTCCCTAACCTTTTTTGTATCTACTGATTTATAGGGTATTACTGTTCAGGAGGGGCTGTGTCTTCAATGCCCTCAGACAGTTTGACAGGGGACATTTGCCCAATTGGACACTACTGTCCAATGGGCTCAACTTCCCCTCTCCTCTGTCCTGATGGGACATACTTCAACAGTACAGGTAGAGGAAACTCATTTTGTGAAACTGCCGTGTACGATTTTTCATCTACGAAAAATATGAAGTATAATATATTTAAATCATTAAGTTATTGCTTTCTTGTTTTGGATGAAGGTGCAGAAGAGTGTGATGACTGCCTCTCAGGGACTTACTGTCTCTCGGGGGAAGGCGTCCAGTCCTGTCCAGCAGGACACTATTGTTTTGGTGGCAGTGTTGAGGGCATCCTGCCCTGCCCTCCTGGCACATACAGCCCTCAGTTTGGCCTCAGCCAAGTGGAGCAGTGCCTCATCTGTCCAGCAGGTGAGAGTGTTGTGTCATGGTTGTCTTCATCGCTCTGAAAGACACTTGGAAGTCCTTCATTAAATGTTTAGCGAGCTGAATCCGGTTTTAATGTGTCAACTCCTTAATATGCTAGATGTGCTGGAACTAATTGATTTAGATAAAAGGCAATAGTAGAATGCTTTATCACATTTAAATGACTAGAGGAGGGATATTATTTTGTGATGTGATGAAATTAACAATCAAGACTTTGAGAACGTCGGTGTCCTATTATTACAGCAGTGTTTTTTTAACTCTTCATGCTCTGCTTACAGGGTTTTACTGTGAGGACTGGGGTCTGTTTGAACCTACTGGACCCTGTCAAGCTGGTTACTACTGCATCGCAGGTACAATACATGTATAATTATAGCACAGTTGTGAAAATGACATTATTGCCATTTATCACTTTTACCTCATTTAAAGGCCTTATAATATACCACTGTGCTGCTTAAGTGAATTGGATGACTAAACTTATGTTAAATTTGCAACTTAGGTGTGAACTTTCAGAACCCAGATGGTAACTTCAGCACAGGAGTGGGAGGAACCTGTCCAAAGGGGAAGTACTGTCCTGAGGGCACCAGTCTCCCCCTGCCCTGCCCACCAGGTACCTACTCTAACAGGTTGGTGGACCTAAATATATTTTTTGTAATCATTTTTTAATTGTAACGATTGTAACAGAAAATATGTGGACATTTGAACATCAATGCAGCATTTACTCAAATAACATACATGTACAAGGAATGTTCAGTAAGGTGTAACAACAATATTACAGCCCCATAAAGAACCCACATATCATCCTCCAATAATGGATGCAGATGAATATACTTGCCCATCATATATACATACACAACATACCCACAGCTCACCTACAGCCCATAATAAATACAATAACATGTAGTTTGCATCAGCAGTAAAGGAAATGAAGTAATTGTAGACACATGCACACTTAAACTAAACAGACACTCATTTGGTTCTGCCATGTAAACGTATGCATTCTGTGAATCTTTTGTCATCTGTCACACATGTATGGTTGCAGTCTTCATCTGACAGAAGTCTCTGGCTGTAATCCATGTCCAGCGGGTGTTTTCTGTGGCACTGCAGGTCTCACTCGTCCATCTGGACTGTGTCAGGCAGGATTTTACTGTCCAGGGGGAGACACAAAAGCTACAGGTAGAATTGCAAAATATTGAGTTTTATTGAGTTAATTTATGTTGTGCTTGTAGTATAATGTCAAAAATGATTTACTCCCTTGCTTCATCTCTTCTGCAAGATAAAACCTAGTCCGCCCACCTTCAAATATGAACACAATGATAACATAGTTAATTAATCATTGATTAGCAATGGGTGTTGTTTATACATGAAATGAAATTGTGGAGAGCTGCGATTATAATGTTTGGAGAGTGATCTTATGAATAACCATCAGCTAGAAGAATAACAGATGCTGATAAATGCAGGAAAAGCAAATGTAAGAGGGTGTTTTGTTAAACGCATGATTACTGAATTAATCAGTGTTTATCGCATGATTCATCACATTAAGGGCTAAGCAGTCCTAATCTCAGTAATTTACCACATCTAATTGTTATATGCTCTCCAGGCTCAGAAGGAGGTCTTTGCCCACAAGCTCATTACTGCCCTGAGGGAAGTGCAAGCTCGGTGCCATGCCCAGCTGGAGCCTACTCCATCCTCACAGGCCAATCAGTGTGTTCCCGCTGTCCTGCTGGCTACTACTGTCCAGAGAAGACTGGAAACTTCTCCAAGTCCCCCTGTCCCCCTGGTTTCTACTGCCCCGATGGTAGACTCTCCCAAACCACTCTCAGTCATGGTTATGTGTCTTTATGAATTCATCGAGGGTAGCATCTAGAAACTTCTTGGTGTGCTTAAAGATTCTCACGGATAAATGTGTTTAAAACGCTGAAATGGTGTGTATCACTTGAAATTAGATTGTATTTTATGCGTAGGTACAACGCATGCCACCCAGTTTCCCTGTCCTCGTGGATACTACAACCCGGAGCCAATGACTCAGAGTCTGGACAGCTGCCTGCCTTGTCCCCCTGGACGCTACTGTGAGAAGGAGAGGCTGACCAAAGTGTCTGGAAAATGCAAAGCCGGTCAGTGTCATTTTCTACAAAAGACACAATCTCAGCCATACAGCCTGCTTACAAAGTGGCAGGACTCTATACTCTGTGCCAGCCTAGTTTATGTCTTGCAAGCCATTCCAAAGCAGTTAGGGAAAATTGCTGTCAGTGCTCTAAAAGTACGTATTAAGCACGACAAATCACATCTCAACACGAGCCACATCTGTCATTATTTTACTTCCCCTCTCTTTACAGCTTTATTATGGTATTTCAGCAACATCAGCAGCTTTCAGATAATTCCCTGTATTATTTATTTCTATATTAAGGCGAAAATGGCCTGGCTCCATATGCCATCAACCCTAATGCACACAAGCCTCATGCAGATAATACAACAGTGGCTTCCTGGTTTGTTTGTCATGTTTCTTATGTTTATCGCTCTTGTGAGTTTCATGCTCTGTGGAGCGTGTTTTTCTAACCTGTTCGGAAAGTCAGCATCTGATGTGACATCTAAACTGATTTGAATTTATGTTGGCAACATGATGTAAATCACAAATATAGACAGCAGTCACAACCTAAGCACCTGTCTCCTGCTCTGTATTTTGCTTCATCTATTCCTCTCAGGTTGGTTTTGTGTGTCAGCTGCATGGAACTCCCAGCCTTTTGACCTGGACAACTACACAAATGCCAACTGTCTTTGTCCAGCTACATCTACAGGGGGGCGCTGCCAGGCGGGCTTTTACTGCCCCTTAGGTAGCTCAGAGCCTGTGCCTTGTCCACCTGGAACATTCTGTAACATCTCAGGTATTTGAAATCCAATTAAAGACCTACTCATTCACACTAGCCACTAATCCAAAGTCAGAATTGTAATGGCCTGGTTTTTCATATTGGACCCCAGCAAGTGAACACATTTTTCTTTCAATCACACACATGGAACTAGAATAACAAATATGTTCTCAGTCAGAACTTGTAACCGATTACATCTAAGAGTTATATTGTTGTGTTTGAACCATAGGTTTGAACCCCAAGGCAACCCGCAGAAGCTACATTTAACTGTCTGTGTAAAAATGTATCTATTTGTGTGACATTGACAGTTATAAAAGGTGTTATTTTGATGTAGCCTTATAAGTTTGGATTTATTTTTGGTTGGTAAAGTTATTGGTTATTTGATCTGTGTATATGGAAGTGTATGTACCATATGACATTTTGGCCAATTTGATTGTAAGTCTTTTGGGGGGCTCACACATTATTCTACATAAGGGGATTTCAGTCAGAGCCACTTATACATAATATCTCTGGGTATTTAAGAAACTCATAAAAGTCCTCATGTTGTTAAAAAGGCTTGGCTCTGCCGATGGGACCCTGCTTCCCTGGGTATTTCTGTGTTGGAGGAGCAACTGAAGGCAAACCAACAGATGGAGGAACAGGCAGCATCTGTCCACCTGGGGCATACTGTGGTAAGTGCCGCTTTACTTCTTTGTAACAGTTGTATTACTAAACTGCCAACAAAGTTTTTATTTATATATTAATAAAGAAAAGTGAATTGCTTGGTGAAGTCCATAATGCATTAGTACCACTTATACTTGGCTTAATGTTTTTTTTTTATGTATAATTGAGTTTGATTGGAAGAAAATATTTACATATTCATAATATTACCACTTTTCCCTAGCTTTTAATGTCTGCCATTAATCTATGTCCAAGTTTTTAAGGATCTATATTGGTTCCCATGCAGGGAATGTGTGACAACATAGCCTTAAGCCAAAGTAAACTGGGTTGAGAGAAACTGACACCATGAAATAAGTAATATGTATGCACTTTGCATCATATACCAATACAATGCAGAATGAGAGTCTGCAAAGTCTTATCAAATCTTATTCATTATTCAAAGGGCAGTTCTTTGAATTGGGTTTTTTTATAGCAAGAAAGGCCCAGCCTTTAACCCTGGGGTTTTGTTTTGATTTTCAAATGTCTTTCTGCAGTCCAAAGATATGCAAATGACATGAACCTAAGACTCTTAAGTAGCTGTATTACATTTCATTGTCAAAGTCATAGCATAGTCATAGCTATGACTCAAGTAGACCTGTCAACCTAATTACCCATGGGTATGAGAGTGAGTCATCTTGAGTCAACTTTTGTTAGCCTGTCTACTGTTGACCTGTGTGAAGTTTGTTCATGCTTTTGACTCAGTGTATCCTGGAATAGACTTTCGGTCTAGAATAAGTATTGGTATGTAAAGGAAAGGAATGAAAGGCTGAATAAATGACTTTTTCTCTCTGCAGTTGAGGGCTCTGGAGAGCCAGAGTTGTGTCCAGCAGGTACTTTCTCCCCAGTGCCAGGTCTAACCAGTGAGGCGAGCTGTCAGCCGTGTACTGCAGGTGTCTACTGCAGAGAACCAGGTCTCAGGGCTCCAACTGGACCCTGCAGCCAAGGTAGTCCATGCATTGTATTATGTCTCATCGTTTAACATAAACTGTTTAAAAGTGTTCGGCTGTTGCCTGTTTCATAAAGATACATGTTCTTGATTAATTCTTTGTTCGGCTCCAACCTCCTTTCCATCCTTGCACACTTTGCTCTATTTTGTGTTTTGTCACCTAGGCTATTGGTGTCCGCCTGGTCAGACAGTGGCTACAGCTCTGCCGTGTCCTCCAGGTCACTTCTGTGTGCAAGGAAGTGCCACTCCAGAGCCTTGCCCGTCAGGAACCTACCAGGACAGAGAGAAACAGGCAGCCTGCACCGTTTGTGGCGCAGGTATAAGAGCGCTATACTCTTCTTTTTTATCTTCTCTACAGAAGGATGTATTTATTTTCTTTCTAAACACTGCTGTTGACCTTGTGGCATTTCTGATTTACTGAAGACAGTGTAATGAAAACAGTTCTCAGCAACCCAGCAAGTGTTCATTTATTGAAGTTGATGACTCACTCACATGCACCTGTTCAATTTATTATATAACAAGAATAAAAATGTATAAAAACTTAATTTACACAGAACATTTAAAAACCTTGGCAAAGAATGAACTGCACTGTATACAGCACTTTACAAGTTTGTTGAAAGGAATGTTCTACAAATGTAATTGTTTTTGTAAGTATTTTTTATAATGCTTATTAAAATATGTGTGTTTTTCTTCTGTCAAGGGTACTACTGCGATTTGAGACTAGCCAATGCCTCTTTTTTGCGGCCTTGCCCCAAAGGACACTACTGCCCTGCAGGTACAAGCATGCCCGACCAACACCCCTGCCCCAGAGGCTCCTTCAACCCGAGAGTGCACACTGCCAGCCTCACAGCCTGCATGCCCTGCGCTGCGGGACACTTCTGTCCTTCTGTGGGCCTGTCAGAGCCGGCAGGTGAGAAAGAGGGTGACCTCTTCTTTTAATCGCTTTTCCTTTTTTCTTACACCATTACTTAAAGCGGTAGTAGGGACTGCTATGTATGTGATTATGCAACAAACTAGAATTTTGAAATCATTATGGCTGAGGACGAAATGAATAACAACATTTTCCCAAGTGTGTTAATAGCGAGTCAATACAAACAGTGTACACAGGACCAAAGCTGTTCTGATCTTTACATAAACCCCCCAGATGGCTTATCAAACAACACATAATGCTTAACATGAGAAGACATTGAAAGATTGTTGGAATTACAGTCTGATGTTTTAAGTCAAGTTAAGACCCACATGGGAGTATCTGATTTTAGACATAATCATTGTAAAAAAGCAAGGCGTTTTATCATCACATACATAGCAGATATGTACTGTACAGTGTTTCCCCTATATACAAATAGTGGCGGCGCAGCGCCGCTGCTGGAATATGAGCGCCGCTGCTAGGGGGCGCCAGCCAGGTACCAAAAAATAAATAAATCTTTTTTTCTTTTTTTCTTTACTTTTTTTTCATTTTTCTTCAAATATTAATAAGTGGCGACCCTTTTTCATTTTTGATTGTTTGTTATGTGGATTTGTAGTATTTGTGTTACTGTATGTTCAATAAAGGTGTATTTTTGCTAAATCTTGAGACATTGCCACTGTATGTACAGTACTAGGCAGGGCCAATTTCTGGCCTAGGGCGCCAGATCTGGGGGGCGCTGCGCTGATAGCTCTTGGAGGGAAAAAACATTTTTGACCATTGGCGCTCATCCAAATGTTCGGCCTTGATGTAACAACATTCATAATTAAGTAAATGTAACACCCTTTTCACCCCGGTTACACGTTTAATTTGCCCTGTACGGTGGGCGCTGTAAGTGATGAAAGTGGGGGATGTTGGCTTATCAGGCGCCCGCAGCTCACAGCCAAAGTGCGAGCGTGGTAGCGAGAGAGCGAGCAAGGGAGAGGGCGCACCGGTACCGGCACTGTTGTTATTAGAATCTGGTGCTAGCTGCACTAACGGATATAATAAGTAGATGTTTCTACAACCAGGGTGGAGGAGAGCTCTCCTGTCAGACTGAGAGGCTCAGTGAGGTAAAGGACTCTGAGTATTTAGATAGTTCATTTTAGTTTAAGTTATCTCAGTGGGTCTCAAACGTTTTGATCACAAATTATGTAAACACATATTTCCAAGGCACTCCTTTATAATTATTAGGATAAATAAAAACAGTTTTGAAATCATTCCAATGTATACTATAGGACAGTAAAGCAAAAATATCGTTTAAAGTTGGAGAGATACAAAAATATGCATAAATAAATGTTAACTAGGTAAAATAGATATGAATGACAACAAAAATAAAATAAAGCTTACATTTATTTTGTTTATTGGCTAATGGTAGGTTAATGGTTATGTTCAACAAAATACTTATTGATTATTTAAAATGTTAAACCGATCTTTTTTCATATGGGTGGTTTTTTTAGAGTTGTGCCTCCTAGATCAGGTCTTCTAGTAATTTGTGTGCTTCAAATGTGGGCTCCAGATTGAAGCATTTTACTGTAAAAATGTATTCAAAAAAAAAATCTTTCCCGGGGGCCATACCCCGGACCCCCCTAGAGGATGTGACGTTCCACCCCCCAATTCAAACATGTTCATACAATACTGAAATACATTTGAAAGTCATTTTGACTCTATTACCTATGTCATAAGTTTTCTGTTTTTACAGTGTATTGTCTTTTTGTAGAGATTTTAATTTATTCACTTTACATATAATGTTCGCCTAATATCTCACCTTAAAGGGCGCAAGATGTCTAGAACCGAACCTGTAAATAGGCCTCAAAGAGCCTTTCTTTGTGCTGACAACATAGAACAAATTGGCTGGTGCACTTTGCACCACGCACACACTAAAAAAAATTCCACGCGCTCCCGCGCTCACANGAGTGCACTCGTGGATGAAAAATACATTTTCCAGCAGTATCCCGTTTATCAAGTTTCTCTATTGCTTCTGTTAACTTGATTTTGAATTGCACTGAAGCCAAATTAAGTAACTATACAGAATGATATGGACAAAATAACAGATAAACCCTTTCAGTGTAAAGCGGTGTAATCCAATAATACAAAGTATGGATTGTACAACTACTGCAATCAATCACTTTTGTTTAATGGATTTTACAGAAACCTTATTTTCATTTTTTACATTCATGCAGATATTATTTCTGTCTTTTTCTCCCATGCAAAGGCTGGATTTGTTAAGCTTCAGAGGGGAGTGTGTGGGAGAGAAACTCCCTCTTGAGCAGGGGTGTCAAACTCAAGTCCCGGGGGCCAAATCCGGCCCGCGACTTCGTTTTATGTGGCCCCGCAAGAGCTTGCAAGAATATAATACATTTATTATACGGTTACATGCCACTTTACAGAAGCAGGTTGCCCATAAACTACATATCCCACAATGCATCTCGTTTTGTGATATGCGCACTGAAGAGACTTGCAATTATTTGCCCTGGACTATCCGATAATAATCCAATTCAGAGGCAATAATGTAATATAATACATTATTTTATATATATATTATATAGTTACAACCGGCCCTTTGAGTGCAACTTTTATGCGAATTTGGCCCGCGATGAAATTGAGTTTGACACCCCTGCTATACATGGAACAAAACAATACAAAACCTGAGGGATGGTGATGTTTGTCAGTCGTCCCACAACTTTGGTTATGATTGAAACATGGATTTTGAAAGATATGTTAATTTACCACATATGGTTCGGGTGTCCACACTCGAACATGTAGTGTAGACAGACAGACCTCTGACAAGGTCACAGATAAAAAGGCAGACAAAAGAGATAGAAGTGCCTGATTTATTGATGACAATGTTGAGAAGTGATGGATCTGGGAATGGAGGGCGCATTCCTTGTAGAGAGAAAAACTGAAATGTGAAGGAAAGTAGAACAAGAAAGGAAACAGTCAGACATGAACATCAGAGGACAAAAAAGTGGAAGAAAGCCTAGCAAATATTGTTGATGAATAGATGGCAGAGGTCTAACAAAAGACATTAAGAGTGACAGAAAGAAGAAGAAAATGTGAGAAAGAAAATCTGAAAAAACAGAAGAGGGATTAGGGAAGGAAAGAGGGAGAAGGCAGAACAAAGTCGCAAAATTGAAAGAAAGAAGAGATAAAGGGAGAAGGAAAGAACATAAGAAAGACAGAAGCGATACAAAATAGGGCAGACACACATCGACGAGAGAGAGGGAGATAAAGAAAGACGCAGTGGTGAGGAGGAAAAAGGATAAAACAGATTTTCTAAGCCAGCCAGGAGGAGAGTGCCAGCTGTGTTTATCTGACCTCTGACCTCAAGGCCACTCCAATCTCTACAAGGCCTCAGTGTGACTCACAGGCGTACGTACACACACACACACACACACACACACACACACACACACACACACACACACACACACACACACACACACACACACACTGTGTAGGCCAGATCAAAGCCTGACATCCTGCACAAACCCCCTCTACACAATGAAATATGTCTCTGGGCCTCTTTTTCTCATTTTTCTCCTCATCTTTCGTTCTCCCTCATTTTTTGGCCTATCACTGTGCGCCTCCTCTGTCCCCAAATCTCTGTTTCTCTCCCCCCCCTCCCCCTTTTTTTTAGCTCTGTATCTCTTTTTCTGTCCCCGTGAAATATGTCCAGCTGGATTGAGCTTCTTCCTCCTCAGCACTCAGCTCACCCGCCCAAGAGAGCGAAAGAGAAGCAGCTGGTTTTAAACAACAAGTGGAAGGGACGGATGGATTGGGGGATCAGGGGAAGGGCAAGGGGGTAAATGGGAAAGGAGATATTGGGAGTGAAAGATGGAGAAGTATGGAGAAGGTGACAGTGGAAGAGTGGAAGATGGAAGAAAAAATAACAGACAAGAGTTACTGTTGTGGGATTTTGATGGTAGATATCAGCCAAGTACCCACTGTAAGAATTAATTAAATAATGGATTAATCCACACCTCACAATGTACCCTAGTTGGCATGTGTAGATAATGCATAAAGTATTTTGTCTAAATATATTAAAACTAGACCTTGAAAATATTTGGTTACTTGAGATAGATTATTCCTAGTCTGGAAAGTTAGGAAGCATGGTTAAATTACTAAAATTCCTAAATGTAATTGTAAACTGGGATACAGATATCAGATATAGGAAGTTTCTGTAATGAGGCGCAGGACATAAAGCAATTTTTTTACATTCTAATGTTAAAAGACAGTGACTTGTAAGTCAAACTTTTTTGAACAAAGAGTTCAAAGTGTTTTGGGCATTCAACATTTTGCAGCTTGCAAGATACATTTATTAAATGTTCTGCTTCTGGTAATAGAGACTGTAATCGGGCCGTATTTTCTTTTGCGAATTAGCATTACAGTAATTTCTTGGTTTTTCCCAGCTACACAGAAAGTTACATGTTGAACAGTAGGTTTGTTCAAGGACTGAGCTTTCCAAAGACCCAGACAGAAACAGAAAATATAAATTAGAGCTCCTGATGTGCAGAAATCACACACCCACAGAGCAAAAGACGAAGATAAGAGGCTGACATATGCAGATATGAATAGACAATGGGGTTAAAGCTAAGTGCTTCTCAGGCAGCAGAACAAGCAGTTTGTTTAGTTTAAACAGAAGACAAACTACTTAGTAAGCGTTGCCAACAACAACGATCATGGCTGAAGAGAGAGGAGCGGCACCTCTCATAAACATAATTTCCAAGAAAAGAAATAGCATAGCATCACCCACGCAGTCCTGAATGAAATAAATGACAGATATCTCTGGGATTAGCACATTAAACTCACACTTGCTCACCACCGACGAGAACACTGACATCTATACTTAACATATTAATTTGGCATTTGAGGATTAGTTTAGTAAATTACAGTGGCGACTATTGACTGCTATGATAGATAGTGCTTTGCCTGTTAGCACACCCGTTCTGGGAATGAGTCACAGCATTATACTTCTCAGACTGAGACAAACAGA